TTCTTTTTAGTTTGTGTTTTTGTTTGGTTTGTTGTGTTATTGTGGTCTTTGGTGGTGGTGGGGTGTGGGTGTAGGGGGGTGGCGGGGGGGGGGGGGGGGGGGGGGAGGGGGGGGGGGGGAGTTGTGTTACTAGCATCGACATATAGATATCTCTGACTACATGTAAGAAAATGATCTAGCTCGTCAAAAAATAAGAAAAGGAAAAAAGAAGAAGAATCGAATCCATTGCGACGGAAAATGTCGCACAAGCGCACACAATGCAACCAACATCTGGCTATGTTCTTGAGACGACGACGCTGATAGATGCGATCATAATGACGAGTGAGAAAAAGAAGAGAGAGAACAAGAATAAGAAGAAAGAGAGAAGAAACTCCGGACTCTCTTCTTTGCCGTTGCCATCCCGCTGGGGCCAGGGATCGTATATTTGTTCTTCTCTTGCACACACATAAACACACAGAAACGACTCAACTATGTTACTGAGAATGCCGCCGGCAAATGCGCATTCTAACTTATATTTGTCTCTTCATTCATCTCAAATGGCAATATATGATGATGATAATAATCACTATCATCATGATAATGTCATTTTCCTTATATGACGAATGATTGTTTTCAAAACAGATACATTTCATTATCAAACTATTCGAAAGTAAAAACAAAATACAAACGAAATCGATACCACCATTATTAGATTAAAAAGAAATTCATATGCATCGAATACATTCATCCATACCTTATGATATTTTACATGGCATTGATTTCTCTGCTAATGTATCATCTATATTTGCTTATTTAAGTTATTTTCCACCGCCGCCGCCTGTTATACCATCTCCACCACCTCAACGTTCTTGGACATGTTCTGCTCGTTCTTTATCGTCATCATCATGTTTAGTTGCTGATGATCTTAATCCTCCAAGTCTACGAAAATATATTCCATTGATTAATAATAATCAATCATTCTTATCCAAAAATACATCTCATATTTATAAAAATGTAGATCAAAATTTTAAATCTTCATCTATCTTAGATTTTTTTCAAAATCAATTACCATTCATTATTTTATTAATTATTTTCTTAAGTATATTTATTTTTGTTATAATATTATTATTAGTTTTTCTTTGTATGCAACGTAAACGACAAAGACAATTAACATCAAGTAGCCATATTGGCATGAATAATAATAATAATAATAATAATAACAATAATAACAATAATAATAAATTTTATCATCGTTTAATACCTTACCGTAAAAAATATCCAAAAACAACGACAACATTAAATACGAATGATGAAAATAATTTATTAAATTTAACAAATCATGAATCACCTGCCGTCGAAGTTGTATTTGTACCCAAAACAAGTGGAACACATATAGATGATAATGAAGAACAAGAAGAAACTGTTTAATATTTTTTCTTGCTTTTTTTCTGTAAATGTTCATTTCTTTTCTTTTTACTCAGGAAAGAAAAAATACAAATAAGTATTAGACAAAATTTTGTTTTCTTTTTAAACATAGATAAATTTAAAACAAAAAAGAAAAAAGAAGAACATATAATAATCATTTTCGAATACAAATCATAAGAACAGTTGTTGAATCACAATCATAAGATTTTAATGTTCGTTTATCATCAAGTTGATCAAAATAATTACCAGTTTTTGTTAATGTTATATGATTTGGGTCAATATGTTCTTGTTTACCAAAAATTTGTTTTAATTCATATATTGTTTTATCTAATGATATTCGACATTTATATTCTTGATTAAGAAATGTTCGTAATGTTATATAGGTTTGCCTTTTAGATAAAAAGCAAAGGTTGATAATAATGTTGTTTTGTTGTTTTGAATAGAAATACTTACTCAGACGGAATAGATAATTTAGTTTGTTGATTAGATTTATCATCATTTGTGTTGGTGATATTTAATTGAATATTATTACACATTTTATGAATTTGATCAAGTCGATCTTGATCGTACTGTAAAGATATTTCAATTGACTAAAATTAAACAATAAAAATATTTTACATATATAAATAACGAGTACAGCAAAAACTTTTCCATTAATTTTGTTTCTTTTTTTTTTTCATACAGTATTGTAATACAATATTGAATGGGCTTGATTTAATTTTTTTTCCTCAGAAAGAGCAAAACATTTAATGCCTGGATGTATCAAAAGAATTTAATCGACAATGTTTTCTAAAGGTTAAAAGCATCTTAGAACATAATGTATCATGAAACTCTTCCATAATTTCTTATATGCAAATAGATTTGTTTGACAATTCTCATTATCGACTTTTGATATTTTCCAGCAGCAGCTATATATAACTATGCATGACAACGACAGCTTCCATGTAATGGCGCAATAATTGATCTAATGTACAGCATGTTTCATTTAGTTTTACTAGTTTTCATAAGTTACTCTGTCGATTTGTATAGTTTTAATTTGATTGAGTTTTCATCTTGGTAAAATTTTAATAAAGAAAATATTGAATGAAAAGGTTTTGAATTTAAAAGAACAAAATTAATTTTACTGCTGAAATTTTAGGTAATTTTGTAATAATGAAATAGAGACCAGACTTTTAGTGCTATTTGCATCATACAAAATTTACCTATATAAAATTTCAGCTACATCAAACTAAAATTACATAAATCGATAGATAAATTAACGCTCTACCCAATCAGTTAATAACAAAACATTTCTGAAGTTTTGCATTAATTGAAAATTTAATTTGGAGTTGATCACGTAAAAAAATAAAGTTTTATCTGAATATCTCATAGAAAACTTGTATCCTATTCCAAATTAATATCATTTAGCACAAGAATTCAATAAGCTTCGTTTTTTATATAAAGTATAAAGCTTCTGAAAATTTCTCTTTCGAAATATCGAATTCAGTTATTTGACTATGATCACTAATTACGACAAATCAGTGACACCAGAAACTGCTATAATAACGTTCATATTTGCCACTGTGAAACACATAGAATATTTCTCTATTTTTGTGGTAGAGCAGTAGTTCCTTATTTTTATGTTATGAAACTTGAATAGGGATATGCAATGTTGGTGTCAATACTGATAAAGAGTCCACGATGGTACTGATTACATTGACATTCGGGTTTCTTGTAACACTAAGATATCAGTTCTATCAAGCTATATCATTTTAGTAACGGTATACACTAACGATACTGAATTGATGACATCAATGGTGAGTAAATCGAAATTCCACATCCCAAAACTTTGAGAAGAAAAGCTTTTTTTTAACTGATGAAGCTTTTTTTTTATAACCTTTTAGAAAATATTTTCAATTAAATCCTTTGATAATTTTCTTTTGCCCTACATATTTTTATCTTTCTAACAAAAAAAAAAGGATCAAGTTTCTACGATATTTCATGGTAAGATAATCTCATAAACAAAATTAATGCAAAGTTTTTGCACCATTGATTAGTTTTATTTTTGTGATTCTATTCTGTACATTTAAATATCTTTGATGTTCGTCAAGTTTATCAGCTAGCCGCAATTGAATATCAGATACTTTTGTTAATAAATTGATTAATTCGGGTTCATTTTTACTAAAAAAATCATTTTTCTGAGTAAACAAAAATTATTGTTTTCAAAAAAAACGAAGATAATCAACCTTTCGAGATGATAATTTTTTCCAATTAACTCAAGTTTAGATTGTTCAAGTGGTTGAAGATCATTTTCAACATGCCTAAAAAAATAAATATAAACAATTATATTATAACAGGGGACTTTGGAATATGCTGATTTACAGAAAAAGTAGGAAGCTTTAATTTATTCTTCAATAGTAACAACAAATAATTTTAATATGTTAAACATGTAGAGTTCTTATCTTGTATTTTGTGCAATGTGCGTCAAAAAAATTATTTAGTATTTATTTACAGAAATTAACTTGACAAATATTATTCAGAACTAATATTAGTTCCTTTTTTTATTTAATCATTCGACATGAAAATAAACATAGTAGAGTGTTTCGATATTTGTTTATGGAAGTGACTTTGGAGACACACTAGAAGACGTATCAGGAATAAACTATCATAAATGTTTTTTTCATAGACGAACATTTATTCTGAAAAACCTTATTTTTTCGAAAGTATAACTGGTAGAGCCGCCTGTTGGTTGGTCCTGGACTGAGCCCAAATCCGAAAATTTTGGACTCGACGAGCTTTAATAGTCTATAACATTTATACAAATAGAAAACATACAGTGGCTTATCTCGAAATGTGAACCGATTGGTTAATAGTATATGACGTATTAGGTATATGGATTAAAAGCCATATTCCCAAATAGCAGCGTTAGAGTTTTCTTCATCTTCTCTATTTAGCATTAATATGTACGGCACGACCTAAAAGCAAAATCTTCAACGCTGCTAGTAAAAGATGACTATTATGGGATTTTGAGTACGCATCGAGATAGAATTGTATTTGATCTAATCCCATACGATTTTGATATTGATATACTATTTCACAATTCAAATTGTGTAGAACCAGGCTAAATCTAATTATATTTCATCTACACAATAGACTTTAGTGCTAAATCCATCATTGAAAAGAAGAAATTTTCCTTTTAAAAATCGTCCTATATCTCGTAATGTATTCAAAAATTGCAATGAAATTCATAAGTACCTTTATTTTGAATACTTCTTCTAGTAATGGATAATCGAAAAGTAGTTTGTCAAAAGATTGATGCATTTTCCAATCTCTTACAGAATCCTGTAGAATTTTGTGCTCTTTTCAATCATAATTTCAACATTTTTATACAAATTCTGATTTAAGAGTTATGACTCGACCTTTTAGAAACTCATACATGAAGTTTGGACGAACTTCAGCGAGCCAAAAATTATTGAACGTCAACGTCTAAAATTATTTCAGAGACAGTGAATGAAAGAGCAAACATTTCTCTATCAAATGATATACTAATGAGTAGTTAGTTTGTTGCAAGTCATTAGTCTACAGATCGGCTCATAACATCTTAGACCAGAAGCTCTACAAAAAAAAATTTCAAAATCATATTTCGAAAGAACACAAAAATTCTGATTCTCACCAAATGTTTTCTGATTTCTTCAGACTTCTTTAAGAAGTTAAAAACAATAAATGAACATTTAGTTTAAATACTTATCAATCAACCATTATTAGAAATTAATTTTTGTATCAATTATATATGCAAATTAGTTTTGTTCATAGTCTTATCTACATATGATAGAAACTATACATAGTGAACTTGAAAATATGTTAAAATTTAGATAAATTGGTTCAATTGATTACTATTATTTGCCAGAAAAATATTTATCGCATGTCACCTTAGGTCTATGTTTAAAAACTTCTTCAAAAATCTTACGTTAATAGAGTTTGTTCATGCGTATCAAGTTGTTTCAATATATCCATTTGTTTCGTTAAAAGCATGGAATCATGCTGTTGCCTAATACTTTGAAATTTATTACATATTTCATTTTTTATATTTTTAAAAGCATCATGAATTGACCCTAAGAAAAAAAAAACTTTCATTCAATACTTTTGAAAAGTATCTTTTTTTAGAAAACCTTTTAAATCATTTTGACTTGTATTTTGCAATTCATCAAGTTTTGCTTTTGTTGATTGTCTAATCTCACTAATATGTTTTTCATTACAATCAGTACATTCTGTACAATTACAATGTTCACATATAGTTAAGTTTTCTACTTTCTGACAACATGGACATTTTGCTTTTACGGGTTGAACATCCATTAAACTAATTAGTAAGAGATTACTAGGTAATTCATCGGGACCTTGTCTTAAATTGATTACTTTCCGACATGTTGGACTAAATAGAAACAAAAAAGGAAATAGTTTTTTTTTTTTTTAAACAACAATGATCAAACCAAGATAATGTTCGATTTTGATTATTGTACATTCCTAATGAAAAAAAAAATTTTTGATGAAATAAGTACAAATCTATGATATGAAATTACTTTGTAAACATGCTAAACAAAATGTATGTTGACAAGAAAGAACTTTTGGTATTTGAAATCGATCAAGACAGATTGCACATTGTAAAAGATTTTCAAGATTTTCAATTTTATAAACGTTTGTCATAGTTTCAAAAAAATAATAAATAAATAATTGATAGTGACGTTTCTGTATTCGACTTTTTTTTCTGACAGAGACTTATGATTCATCAATGCTTTTTTATTGGTTAAAACATATGAAACAACTTTCCACTGTTTATTTATTTATCATTTCAGTAATACATTTGGATTGCTCAGGATACATTACAGATGGCTAGTCAGGCTAAAAATACATTTGAAATTCCAAAATGGTAAGTCAGTTTTCAAAGTCTTTTCTATGAAAATAAATTCAGGATTTTCTTCTTTTTTTATTTTTGTTTCTATAGGGCTGGGAAACCAGTGGCTGGTCTACATTTAGATGTCGTCAAAGAGGGCAAATTGATACAAGTTTGTTTAGGTTATTCATATTATCTTATTTATCATATATTTTTTTCTGTTTTTAGAAATTAATGATTGATGAGAAAAAATGTTATTTTTTTGGACGAAATAGAGAATTATGTGATTTTACTAGTAAGTTGCTGTTACTTACTTTTTTTCTTTACTTTAAACACAGTCATTGCACTTATTAATATAATTCACACAAACAACACTGTGTTAGTGTAAAGAGTGTGTTTAAAGTAAACAAAAAATACCTAGATTTTATATAAAAACGAAATTTATTTTTTCTATGAATATTAGTTGATCATGCATCGTGTTCACGTGTTCATGCAGCATTACTTTGGCATAGAGATCTTAATCGACCATTTTTAATTGACCTTGGCTCAAGTAAAACTATTCTTTTTTTTATAATTGTTTTTTTTAAAGTTTTTTTATTTCAGCCCATGGTACATTTATAGGTCATATTCGACTTGAAAATCATAAAGCACAACAAGTACATACTGATAGTGAAATACATTTTGGTGAATCAAGTCGTATATATATTATTCGTGAACGTCCACAAGTACATGGAAATAAACTTCATCATATGTTTGGTAGTAATGCAAATACAAATAATTTAAATAATGATACTAATGGAGATCATAATGATGAAAATAAAGATGCTAATAGTTCATTTTCAATACCAGAATCTGAAATTGAACTTGATGTAAAAAATAAAATTAAGAAAACAAAAAAAAATAAAATTTGAAATTTTTTTATTTTTTTTAAGAATTTAACTGAATTTAATACAGCACATAATCGACGTATTGCACAAATTGTTCAGATAACTGATTTACCTAATGTACCAACTGTTAAAAGAAAACGAAGAAATGTAACATTTAATGAAGAAGATGATGTGATTAATCCAGGTAAATTCATATGAAGAGAGAAAAAAACAGAAAATCAAATAATCACCCACTTTTCAGAATAAGAAAGTCATAAGTTTTCAGAAATCCAGCGAGTTTCAGCACGTAGCAATCTGCTTATCCAGCACTTATGAAGAAACATTTTTAAGCGTCCAATCACTTTTCGATTAGCACTATTGCCATTCGATCGATCATGATGAGTAATAAGAAAAAGGTCTTTTTTGGTGTCGTTGCCCGATCTTCATTTGTCGAGTTATAAAAGTTTAATTCAATTTTTGCTCGGTGAAGATAGAATCACTGAGAATTTAAATGATCACAATTTAATCATACAAGTTCTCGACAATTTTATCTTCATAGAGTAAAACTTGAGTAAACGCCCAAAACTCAGAAACAAACTTTTTTACTACTCATCAAGATCAATTGAATAGCATTAATCTTGTTTATTTAATTGTTTTTAATATTTTTAGAGGATGTCGATCCAAACGTTGGTCGATTTCGAAATCTTGTTCAAACAACAGTTATTGTACCAAAGGTTAGTAATAATTAAATTCTGAATTCAATCAAATTTTAATTGAAAACTTTTCATGATCATGATCGAATCTATAACTAATTCCATAAATTAGATCTAAGTTTAAAAATATTTATTAACGAATTTGAATAGAAGAAAAAAACTATAGTTTATTTTTTAAATCACGATAAGACATTTCTAATCTTGTATATTTTGATGCATTTCTTAGAAACGAAGACTTGATCAGTCAGTTATTAGCCATCTTGGCATTGATACAGCTCAAAAACATGGACAATCATTTCATTATTCCCAACTTTATGATGCAAATCATCCAATACATGCTACAACATCAATGGAACCGTCAAATTCATTACAAGCTCAACATCTAAGTGTAGCAGCAAAACTCGGTAAAACTATACAGTTCTTATTGCTTTTTATGAAACACGCACAATGGAGAGGCTTTATTTTCTGTCAAAAACACATTTTATTTATAAAAATAATAACTTTCAATGCTCAACAAAAAGATGAATGAGGAAAAAAAATGAAATTTGTAAAAGAAGGGTGTGGGTATGTGGGTTTTTCATATAAGACAATAGGATAAGAGCTCTAAGATGACAAAAACTTGACCATTTTTTGCGTCTAGGAGTTGCTCAAACTCTTCAACAGTTACAATGATTCTTTTTACACAAAAATGTCGGTGACAGTTTTTAGAAGAGTCATTGTAAGTTTTTTTTTTAAGCAGATTTCGGACTGTTTCTGTATTGTTTCCCAATGATTTGTTTATGCAGATGTTTCCATTATCATCGAACTACCTTCTCCACTGCAGACCTTACAATTATAACAAACACAACTATGTATAGGCTTTTTTCTTTCTTCTCTGTTGCTTCTAATACTGGTACGGAAAAAAGAAGATGATGAATAGTTGTCATTCCTTGTCCAATTTACCATCTTGTTCTCCGTACCAATATTAGAAACAAAAAAAAGAGAAGAGGGAAAAAAACCCTATATATAGTTGTGTTTATTATTGCTGTAAAATCTGCACAGAAGAAGGTAGTTCAATGACGATCACAATATCTGAATAAATAAATCATTGGTAAACAATACAGAAAGAGTACGTAATCTATTTCAAAAAACATGAAAAAGTTACCCATTGACCAAAGCATGTTGAACATTATTCAAATCGCAAAAGAATATCACTTTCATTTTTTCATCAAATATTCACGTTGTTGTTCACTGTGACATGATTTTTACGAAGTATTGAAGTATATAGGGTAGAAATTTGCACTCCACACAGTACATGCTAAATATCAGTACGGAAACTCCACCGACCGTGATAGATGCTATTTGATATATCGCCTGATAAATAACGTTTCGTCATAATGTATGAACTACTTCCCTATTGAATTTCCAGAGAAGGATGGCGAAGAAATGTGTTCCAACAATAGATCGAATAATACAATTTTTTCTATGATTAGCAATGATAGCTACATTGTACCTCACATTTTAATCCTGCAAAGATTGCACTAACAGCTATTTTTTTTAGGAATATCAATGCCAAATTTAGCACCTGATTTACGTGATTATGATGTAATTGAACCAGCATCAACAATACTTCCAAAGATAACACCTAATTCATTACAAGCATCAATGACAGAAGCAAATAATGAAAGCATGGAACCAAAGAAAAAGAAATATGCTAAAGAAGCTTGGCCAGGAAAACGACCATCGGGTTCAATGTTACTTGTTAAATAATAAAAAATGTTCTCGTTTTGTAGTTTCATTTTGTACAGTGGACTTATTTTGTTCTATTTCCTACTCTAAAATCTATTGATATAATCTGTGCTTAAATCTTGTTTTCAGATGAATTTATATGCTTCATATGATGATAAAGATACTATTATTCATCGGTAAATTAAATAAACAATGAAAGATAATTATTTTTATAATTCGCAATTTTTTTCTAGACTTCAAACACATATAAGCATTCTTGAGCAACAACAACAAAATTCTAATGGTTATTTTTCTTATGATGAAACTTCATTATTAAATGAACAAGTATGAATAATTATTCGAATGTTTAGGATTGAATTTTTTTTTTTCTATTATAGTATTCCATTGATAAAAATTCTAAAGAAGATTTAGTTGCACTTGAAAAGCTTCTTCAGTACGGTTTTATTTTATTGAAAAAGACAAATCTTTTTCTAATTTCTAATTTCTTTTTTGTTTAAGAAAACGTGAATATGAATTAGAACAACTACGTGAACAATTAAATGAATTTCAACAAGAAGCAGATGAAAAGCTTCATCGAACAATTGCACAAGTAGAATAAACATTAAAATTGAAATTTTCTTTTTTATAATATTTTTTTTTTTAAATTTAGTTTAATGATGCAGAAAAACAATTATCTATTGTTGAATCTGAACGTAATGATCTTCGTCAGCAACTTCAACATTTACAAGATGAAAATGATCTTATAAAATCTTATATGAATCGTTTACCATCAGAAATTGAATATCAAAAACTTCAACAATCACATCAAATACTTGAAGATCAATTGAAACAATCCAATCAAACACTTGTTGATTATCGAAAAGAAAAAAATCATTTAAAAAAACAACTTCTTACTTATCAACGTACCATTAATGAACAACAACAAACAATACAATCTCATGAATTATCAACAGATAAATCTTTATTAAATGCTAAATGTTTAACAATCGATGAAAGAATTGAAACAGAAAGAAAATTTAAAGAATTTCATCAAATAATTCAACAATTAAATGAAAATTTAAATGAAGAAAAATTAAACAGAAAACATGATCAACATCTTCATGAAAATAATATACGTACTGTTAAATCATTATCAAATGATATTGCAAAAAAAGAACAAACGATTAAAGAAATGATAAATCTTATACGACAGGTAAGTTAATGAATATTTCATGAAATTTAGGCAATTCAAAAATATGTGGTAGAGCTACTTTTGATCCCGACGGACCAAGTTTGTCTGTTTCCGAATTTAGTCTCGAAAAATCTAATCTAATTTCGGCTTCGATTTAGACAAAACTACTCCAGACTTTATTTGTATCACATCTAAAAAAATTTTCAATTTTTTTTTTTTTATTTCGTTAGTCGAGAACTAACACTTTTGTGATTCATCTCTCGTGAATTAATTTAACTATAATCTCTAGTTCCATTTGGAGCAACTTTTTTTCTTCTAGTCCTGATCACGTTCTTTTTCCAACAAACTTCTAAATTTTGGTCTTCCACATCTCCAATCACGCACTATATCACTTAAGTAAATACATGTTTAAACGAGACATTTTTGTATCAGGTGACAAGAATATTTCTCCTCTATTGAACTCTCAATAACTTAATTTTGTTATACATTCATAAACAAAATTATCAAACCATGATTTTCGTTTCAGTATCTTTTTAATTTTATTTCAACAAAAGTTTTATTAGGATCAGTAGAGTCCAAATATTTATTTTTTGCAATATTATTTCCACGTAATGTGAAGTATGTACTATCGTTTAAAATAACATTACAATTACGAACAACCATTTTGTACGCAGTTCTTTCTCGCTATCTTTTGCTTGAGTTCTATTATTCATGTTTGAAGAGTTTCGACGTTTTCTGACAACTACTGATGTAGATTTTTGTGCGTTACGACTGATTGTTAATTGACTAAAGTTAAAATATCTAGCTATATTTACGCTGAATGACAACTATAATGATTATTAACAGGTTTCATCAAATTCTTTATTTTTTTATTAGAAAGTTTTGCAGAACAATTTATTCTTTAGTGAAAATATTATTTGTTCATATTTCAAATATTTATTCAATATTTAATAAATTGTTGCTCCTAGAATGTTTTGCTTAATAAAATAATTAAATATTGTTTTACAGAATTTAATTGATGAATCAACAAAAAAATATTGCAAATTTGTTGTGTGGGAGTATTTTTCTTTCTTTTCATATACTTTTGTTCAACAATTTATAATAAAATTAAGTTATTCAGAGTTCAATAGGAAGGAAAATTTCCTAACATCTAGTAAAACTATTCTCATTTCAACACATGTTCTCTAAAAAGATGCATGATTTATTTTTTTTAATCGTTATTTTGCATTATTTGAAAAGTTCAGACTCATTTTAATGGAGCTTCTCTTTTCTGTTGTACCATTTAGTTTATGACATAGGATAAAAATAAGTTATATACGACTCAAACGAGGCAAAACTTCTCTGTTTCTAATTTAAAAAAATTTCTTTTAGTATCCTTCTATTCAAGGGAAATAGAAGCTGAGACTTATCCAATTACTTATAATCATGTCTTTTTGAATAATTTTTCTAAAAACAAGACAACATTTTTGAGTGGTCACTGACGAATGTCTGAACTACAGAAAAGTATTTAAACTAATTTAATGAAATGACAAAAGAACCGAGTTTCTACGCAGAAAATAAAATTTTAGATCTTCAAGTTTATATATCTAAAAATAACTGCTGATACTTGTGTTTTTATAACCAATTAACTTTTTCTTTTTTTACTCATTGACATTTCCTGCTTCACTTTTTCTAACGGTAAAAACCGGAGTTCGCGATTTTATTGTCACTTTTTTTCTTTCTCTCTTTCTGTTTTCCTGTTTTTTTTTAGAATCGACAAGAATTAGACGATCTGCGAATACATTTACTTGTTAGTGAACAAGAACAAACACGTTTAAATGAACGTTTATTAACAAATGATCAATTATCTATGGCTTTACAACGTGTTCATGGGACTGTTGAAAAATTATTTCTTGTACTGGATTTTTCATCTGAAATGCTCAATAATGAATCAATATCAACTCCTGATGTACTTATGCTTCAATTATCTAATCATAAAACTAAATCAGGTAAATCTTATTTTTTTTATCATAGAGCAAAAAATATTACATGAACTAATTTATTTTTTTTCTTGTTAGATACAATTGATACCTCAATAGAAAATGTTAAAAAAGTTGAACTATGTGATGTAGAAAAATTAGAATCAAAATTAGATCATATTATTGATCGTCTTTTATCAATTCGTAGCGAATTAATAGCTCGTCAATTTGAAAATGATCTTGAATCAAATATTCCTTGTCGTTTACAGTGAATCTTTTTTCTTTGTAATCAGATATTTTCTTTTCCATTTTTTTATATTAAATAAATTAGTATTGATAATATGTTGAGAATCAATTGTTTTTTTCTGTTTTTTTTTTTCTAGAAAAGATTATGTTAGTCAATAATGATTATTTAGGTGTAAATACATTTGTAGCCAGTAGTCACGGTAACGATCAATGTGGTACAAATGGTTTACCATTAACACCAAATTCAATTATTATTATTGGACGATTTCATTATTTAAAAACTATAGAACATCCAAATCTTTGTCGATACATTGATATACGTAAAGGAACACATGGTAAATAAAACGAAACGAATTAGGAATGTGCACGGTTACTGTACCCTACAGAGTAGAGTAAAAATAAGAAAACTTTTCTCTGTTACGACGGGTGATGCGCGAGATCGAGTTTTTAGTGGTCGCTGCCTAGAAAAGACTATTTCAGAATTTATTCGTGTCGTATCTAAAAATTTCTTCAGTACTCGTTTTTTGATTTGTTTAGTTGACGACTAGCACTTTATGTCATCTCTCTTGAATTATGGTCTGATCGATATTATTTATAAGATAATTCGCTTAAAATCATAGAATATTTAACTATAATCTCAAGTTCTGGTTGGGACAACTTTTTTCTCATAGTTCCAATCTCAGCAAACTTCCAAAATTTTGATCATGCACGCAGAAGTCATAACAAACCAGGGGTAGGAAATGACAACTTCTCACGACATATTCCTAAAGATTGTCTGCTGAATTCGGAAAGATAAGTCTATCTCTGCTCGACAGTCTGTCAAACTGTAGTCACTATTATTACTTGAAAGTTATCGAAAACTATGCTCTACAAGAAATAAACTTAACGGAATATCTTTTATGTTGTCCTTTTTTGTTTCTTAGAACGATTACTTGTTGTTAGTGAATATTATGAAAGAAATTTTGAATGTTTAATAAATGAAAAACAATCATTAAGTATTGAACAAATTCAACAATGGTCACATCAAATACTTTATGCATTAATTTATTTACAAGAAAAACAATTATATGCAAGAAATTTATCTTTAAAAAATATTCGATTAGCACAATCAGTAAAAAGAATTTTGAAAAGACTGTTTCGTTTTTTAATATCTATTCTTTAATTTAGGATCAAATAGTTAAAATACAAAATTATGGTCTCTGGCATATGACGCAATATGGTACATGTGTTTCATTTCCAATTGGGTATGTTTTATTGATGCAAGTTTGTTGTTAATATATTTCATTTTTTTAGTGATCCATTTTATTTAGCACCTGAATGTTTTGCACTTGATTTAACATTTAAAGCTTTTGTAACAGCTAGTAATGGTCCTCATGAAACTGAAATTAATGATCCAGCTAATGCTAAAAGTTGTGTTTGGTCATTTGGTATTATTCTTCTTGAATTATGTTTAGTAAGATAATTTATGGTAATAGATTAGAAGAGAACTTAAATTTATTTTTATTTACTCAGGGTCAACGATTATATGGAAAACAACCAGTATCTGTACCAATGTCAACAAGTGTTCGATGTTTAAAATTAAATGTAAAAAGTGCATTAGATATTTTATTACGACAAAATGCACTTGATCAAGATGAACGTTTAAAAAGAGATACAGCACAATTTTTTTTACCAATTATTAAAAAATGTTTGAATGTTCAAGTTCAAGATAGGTTAGTTTGTTTTTCGGTATAAACAAAAAAAAACAGACGTAATACATATATTAATGATAGATTCGTACCCTGTACCCCCCTGACTGACAGAAATTTTCTAACCTTTACTTCACTCAGCACATCTCTATTCTTGACAATAGAATTCATGTTTTTTTACTTTAACACTTCAAAAATATAGTTTTCTTTAGTTCTTGGTGTCTATATACAGTAAACTTTCAAGTGATTTCAATAAGTAAATTTGATGTATTTTTTTGTTTGTTCTAATAGGCCAACTTTTGTGGAGCTTCTGGAAGAACTTGGTGGTAAACCATATATATCACCTATTCCACGTGCATTTCAATTGACATTATTTGATGGTGTTACTTCTGTTCTTGATCATAATTTAGATTTATCTGATTTTAAAAATCTTGATTGTTAGTATTTATTTTCTTGTAAAAATAAAAAGCAATTTTCTGTTTCTTATTGTTCAGGTAGTCCATTTCGATGTCGAACAATCGACCAAATTTATTATTTGTGGAAATTAGCTGGTGGTGATTTAACAGCTGTATTGAAAAGTGCTGGTCTTATTAAAATTTCACCATCAATTAGTAAAATATCAAAGTTAGGAACAATTGTTTTGAAAAAACTAAAAATTCATATTTTATATTTATATATGATTAGATTTGTTAGTGATCATGGTGATGTATATGGACTTCAACGTGATGTAAATACTTTATTTGATGATACATCATATAAACTTTCATTAAAAGAACTTGAAAATCGTTTTAATGATATGCCTATTGAAATACTTCATCCACTTCTTGAAGGAGGGTAATAGAAAAAACAAATACGCAGTTTTAACAAAAAAATTCTTTTTTTTTTTTTTTTTTTATTTATTAGTGATCCAGAATTTGATAAATGTCAAGAGGAACTTGATAAAACTATTGAACGACAACCATTAGCTGTTCGTGAAAATGATTTTGAATATCAAGTAAAAAACAAATGAAAATTTTAATATTAAACAAGAAAAATTTTTAAATTCTTCTTTATTAATTTAGTTTCATCGTTTAATTTTATTTGAACGTCTTCTCTCATCATATCCGTATCAAAAACAACGATTATATACAGAAGCACGAAAAGATATTCCACCACTTTATCGTGCATATGTTTGGGCAGCATTACTTGATATTTCTGTATGAATTTAATTTTCAAAACACAAAAGAAAAAAAGAAAAATCTTTAAAATTTTTTTGTTTTTCTAGGGCAATGTAAATGATGTTTATAATCGAATTAATAAAGATAATATAACATCAACAGTAATACGTCAAATAGAAGTTGATATTCCACGTTGTCATCAATATGATGAACTATTATCATCACCCGAAGGTCATAGAAAAATGAAGAATGTTTTAAAAGTAATTTTTTTTTATTGTTTTAAAGGACAAGGGCGCATCAGAACCGCTTGTAGTCCACTTAATTTTTTCTTCGAAAGGAACATAAAAATTGCCAGATTTTGCCGTATTCGAGCTGCATTTTCGTATCAAAACATTATGTGAATGACCTATCATTGAGCGGAAACGAATACTTGAGTAGTAGGCCTAACCAATGCATTTTCAGCCACATGTCGATCTTGAGAACCTAATCTTTCAGAAGACAAAAATGAAGTACAGAGAAAAGTTTTAATGCTAGAAAAATACATGACGAGCTACAAGAACAGGTATAAATTGTTAGCGAAAAAGTATAGTCAGAAGTTCGGATAGGCGAAAGGAGTCAGTTTTTGACTAATATTTGCCGATTATTGCCCGATTAATCTTTTTTCTTGTTGAAATAATTGACCTATTTGGAATTAACATTAAAAACTAAGTCGGTCTATATATATTTCAAATTGCTCGGACAGCTTTCATTTTCATCAACAAATTCACTTCTGATCTTCTCAAAGTTCAATGAAACACTCAAGTCAATCATGATGCAACTTTTAATACGTAGTCATCTGCTTTTTTGTGCTGTGTTATCGTTTTACAAAATCAAAACTTGTTTTCAGCTATCTGAATGATATTTTTTGATTGACTTCATTTTTTGAGCGAACCCTGAGGAGGGAATCAGGATTGAGTTTTTTGATGAAAATAAAAGTTATTCGCACAATATAAGAGACATTTTGGTCGACTTAGGTTTTATGCGGATTTCAGATATGTCGTTTTTTAAATAAAAAATTGATGGATTTGACAAGAATCGACAAATAATAGTCAAAATCTGGTCACTTTTGCCTAGTTGAACAAAGAAAAGTCTCGACTCTAAATTTGTGGGCATACGTTTTCGCTAACAGTTTATACATGTTTCTGTAACTCGTCATATATTCTACTAGCAATAAAAAAAAATTTCTTTGTATTTCATTTTTGTTTTCTGAGACAGTAGGCTCTCAAGATCAACTAGTAGCTAAAAAATGCATCGATTAGGTCGACTCAAGTGCTCTTCTCCGCTGAATGATAGATCATTTACATAGTATTTTGATACCAGATGTAGCTTAACTCGTGCTCTAATGATCATACAATGAGTGAGCTCATGGGCTTGTGATTCCATCTCGGCAGAAGCATCTATCCTCTTGGCTCACAACAACAAGAAATATGATGGTCGAACTTGTAAGAGGCATAAGTACCCATAGTTTAAGACTTCGTGACAACATGTATACATGATTAGATTTGCTAGTTCAAGCGCTACAAAATCTGGTCATTTGTATATTACTTTGAGAAGAAAAATTAAGTGAATCAAAACTGATTCTTATTCATCTTCGCTCTTTAATTGTTATATTGTTTTTCCTTTGCTTCTAGGCTTGGATAGCAAGTCATTCAAATTTAGTTTATTGGCAAGGTCTTGATTCATTATGTGCACCATTTGTTTATTTAAATTTTAATAATGAAGCACTTGCTTATGCTTCACTGACTGCATTCATTCCAAAATATTTAAATAATTTTTTTCTAAAAGATAATTCATTAATTATCAACGGTAAAGCGAATTGTTAAAAGAAAAAAAAAACAGGAAGAATTATTTATTGTATTATAGAATATTTGGTTGTTTTTTCACATTTAATTGCATTCCATCACCCAGATTTATCAAATCGATTGGAAACAATCGGATTTATTCCAGATCTTTATGCTATTCCATGGTTTTTAACTGTTTTTGCACGTAAGTTTAAATCAGATTGGAACGTGATGTTTATAAACTTTTGAAATATTACAAAAGAAAATTAATAAAAACATGTGAGAATTTTCTTATAAAAGAAAATTGAAATGTTTTCGTGATATCACTGTGAAAAAAGTAGATGTAGATTAATAAACCTTGGCAAAGGTATGTAACCCATTGCAAATATATGAATCCTTGTATTGTTTTCTGTGTTCATATAATCCTGTTTGAGTATATACACGGAATAAAGCCTGAGGAAAAAAGGTTTATTACTCTACAATGATGTTTAAAATATGCAATGATAAACTTTTCATCTAAGGATTTATTCCGTTCGTATATCTAAACAAAGATTTATGGAAACAGAAAATCGCACAAAGGAACATGAATTTGCAACGGGTCACAAACTCTGCCAAGATTGATGAACACAAACGGTAGAAATACACTCATAAAATCTAAATAAGGGTTTAAGTGATGTAATAAACTAATAGTGAGGATCTATTTTTCTGAACTTTTTTTTGACAGTAATATATAACTTTATTTCGAGATTGATAATGAGACTAATGTCTGCATCGGAGGTAGAAAGGAATGGATGTAAGCTCAATAACTAGACAATGGCAACAGCTAGCGATCTGCAAGTTTTCAGCAATTGAAAAAGGAGAATTCAGAATGTTTCTTTTATCTGATGCTATTTAAGCAAACAAATGATTTTAAAACCCATCGTTTTCGCGAAAAATAACAGTGTTTCAATTCAAAGAAATCTTGATAATAAGTTAGGAAATTTCCTAAAAGTCAATTGAAATTCTATATAATTTTGACTGAATATATACACAATTTTGTTTATTCAACATTAAGATATGAGAATATAATTACCTGAATCGTTCCTTGAATCATTAATATGAAGCACATGTCAAAATTAAAATTTCACAGAAACACCATTATCATGCACCTTTAAAAATATTTTGCAAAAATGATAGGTTTTTAAATGATTTTGTCTAGTGTAGTATCAGAAAAAAGCGTTCCGAGTTGTTTCCTTTCAAGTGCTGAAAACTATAGGTCGCTAGCTATTTTCATTTTTGAGCTATTGAGATTACAAACACTCTTCTTTAACTGTGGCATGAACATTAGTAGAAAAAAAAACTCAACGTATTATTGCATGTTGATTACAGAAATAGGATCAATTTGGTGCCAGAAACAAAAACCGCGAACTGATTTCATCAATATTTGTTATTTAATTACAAGTGATATAAATAAACGTTTATTGATCTTCTAGAGTGTAAAAGTAATTAGTTCTATTAATTGAAAAAAAAACTTCATGAGACTAAATTAAATTTTCAGAAATGTTTTTTCTACTTTTTTTAACTTTTTAATTATACTGTTCCGTTGAATTTAGATGTATTTCCATTAAATAAAATCTTTCATCTATGGGATATGATTTTACTTGGTGGTTCATCATTTCCACTTTGCATTGGTGTGGCTATATTAACACAACTTAAACCGCTTCTATTGAAAGCTGATTTTAATGAATGTATTTTATTATTTTCTGAATTACCAGGTTTGATTTTCGTTTTTGTAAAAACAATAATAACACGTTTTCGGAATATAAATGGATAAAATGTTTATTTATTTTTCAGCCTCTTAAAAGAGCCTGCAGAAATTTTGAAATATTAAATGAGAATCAGAATTTTGTATTCTTTCCGAACATAGCTCACGAAATTTTTACAACTTCTCGTTTAGAAGTTATCAGTTGACCTTTCACAGGCACGAAACTTAAGTTCGAATGGAAAAAATTGACATCTATTTCGCATAGAATTACAGATGAGATCATTCTTTAGGAAATGATATAATAAACAAGAGTTGCAAAATAACCATTTGACAACGGCCAAGATGTTTTCCATAGCAATCGAGAAAAATGCCTAAATTGACATCATATATCTTACCAAAATATGCGTTGTTGACAAATCACTTAAAGCAGATATGTCATTAGTATACCATTTCATAGAGAAATGTTTACCATCTCACTGACTATATTTCAAATAATTTTCATTTCTATTTTGGGGTAAGTTTTAGCATTCGGAAGTTGCTCCAAACTCCACTTATAGACCTCTAAAAATATCGACTCATAATTCTCAAGCAGGTTTCTTTAAGTGATTAAAAACCGGATGAACATTTTGTCAAATTACTCTCTTTGATAATTCCTTATTTTGTTTAGAAATCGATATTGAACGTTGCATTCGTGGTTCAATTGATATATTTGCTACAACTCCACGTTCATGCACTTATCGAGAACATGCAAGTGATATAACAAACTATCAAATTAATAATGATCTCGTATGATCAACTATATAAATTCTTTTTTTTGTCTTTGACGAGTATGTGTATTCAAATTTAGGATATGGATCCATTTCCGTTATCTGATCTAAAATCTGAACGTTGTCCACGAATATCTGCAAATGATGTTGTTGAATTAAATGATCTTAAAGCTCCAACAGCAAGTTTAACAACATCTAAACTTCTTCTAATAGATATTCGTTCATCGGATGAATATATGAAAGCAGCACTACCATCAAGTGTTAATATATCATATGAAAAAGCATTTGATAACCAAAATCGTATAATTGATAATCGTTTGCAACATTTGCTTGATCAACACCGTTCCTTAGTTAAAGTTGTTATTGGTAATAAAAATCATAAACAAACAGTTGATTTTACAAATAATTTAATTATAAATAATTGTACACGTGTATGTCTATTACATAAAGGCATCGATATTTTTAAAACAACTGGAATGCTTTATGTACCAACGCCATCTGATTTACCATAAAAACGAATGACAAAATTTATTATTTTGTTTGTTTGTTAATTTATTTGTGTTTTTTACATCTATTTTTCAAAGATTTTCTTTTTGTTTTATGTTTTATTGCATTTGAATGACTTAAGCCGGTGCAATATGAGCACATAATTATCGAAATAATCAATTTTTTTTCTTCTGTTAGATATTTTCTTGTAATTGAACAGATCAGTTTGTTAGACAATATTTGCCTTTTTTTAAGAATTAAATTTAAGTTTCTTTTCTTTTTTTATATTCTATTGGACTTTGATCAGAAATTATTCATTGTATAAATAGAAGAGCGAAAAAGAAAAAAGAAAAAAAGCCACCGTATTATGTATACCTCGAATAATCGATAGTGAATAAACACGCCGTAGGCACATGTCAAGATCTGCAACATAATTGAAATAATAGGACAATTTGTTTTATAATCTATTATCGTTCTTTCTGTTTGTTGTTGTCTTATTTCAGATTAATATAACGAGAATGCTCAACAATTTTCGGCAGGTGCTAATTTATTTTTGTAATTTAAAATTAAGATTTACCTCTGTTTTTTTGTTCTCTAGATCCTCCCTCGAGTCATCCGTCCAACGATGATGTTGGCTAATATTCATTCGAACATAACAAACATAGAAAAATCACCTGTAAGTAATACAACGGATTAATCTTGAAGCTTTTTTTTCATTTTAATAATTTACTATAGATTTTAGCAAATGTACCCAGTGGTATATGGAAGCTTGGTAAACTTAATCATTTGGCTGTTGCTGTTCCTAATTTAGGTAAAACAATGGGTTACAGAAATTCCTGCCTTATGAATTTTTGACCCGAGCTCAAATTGACCTCATTGACTCCTATAAAAAAATCTCATTTTTTTATTTTGTTACTACATGCCGTGGTGCTCAGCACGATGGTGTAGTACTGACAAGGGAACCACCCTAGATGATACCTCGCATTTGAGATGCGACACTAGTCATTACGTTAGGCTTGCTGAGACTAGAAAAAACCTAGAAGGATTTTTTCCTCATGTGCTATCCTTTTGGAAGTTATGACCGTTACACTCTAGATTTTTACCTTTGGCACAGTATGTATAAAAAAAAAATTCGGATAAACAAATTGTAGTCTAAAACTTTGCCCATAGACAGCTCTTATAACCATTAGAATCTGGTAAAAATTTCAGCTAAAAAAAGGATCTTTTCTCGAGATATCAAATCCACAAATGAACTAGATTTTGGAATATTTATGGGTTCTTGTGGATTTGATAGTTTGAGAAGAGATTCTTCTTTTTGGTTGAAGCTTTTAACAGATTCTAATGACTGCAAGCAGCGTCTATGCGTAAAGTTTTAGATTAAGATTCGTTTGTTCGAAATTTTATAGATACTATGTCAAAGGTAAAAAAATCCAGTGAAACAGCCATAACTCTAAAAGAGCAGCAAATAAGAAAGAATCCTTCTAGGTGTCTTCTAGTCTCAACAAGCCGGGTGTAATGACTACATTCTCATTTCAAACACGAGGTATTACCTCGGGTGGTTCCATTATCAGCACTACGGAATATAGCAACTAATTAAAGAAATAAGTTTTTTTATAGGAGTTAATGAGATTCCACTAAGCCCAGATCGAAATTCGAGCCTTACAAAACAATCCAATAAGGATTTTGTAAATTCTTTATGAAAGAATAAAAGTGAAATAATCTACTGCTTCAAGACTAATTTATCAAATCAAATTGTTAATCCTAAATCGTATATATAATATTTAAAGTTTGTACAGGCTTTGGTACAAGATAAAGTTGCATGGAATATATCGATTTTGTTTTTCTTGATATATATATATATATATATATTAATAAAACATAAATTTAGACCAAGCAAGTAGTTTTTTTAAAAATGTTCTTCAAGCGAAATCTGTTAGTGGAGCTGTACCACAAAAAGAACATGGTGTTTATACGGTTTTTGTTGAATTTGGCAATGCAAAAATAGAAGTTAGTCAATAATTAAAAGCATAGTAAATATTCTTTAAAAAAAAACAAAAAAAAATTATTTTTAAGCTTCTACATCCACTTGGTGATAAAAGTCCAATTGCAAATTTCTTAAAAAAGAATAAAAATGGCGGAATTCACCATATTTGCATTGAAGTATGTTTCAAAGCTGTGTTTTTTTCATATACTGTATTTGACTACTTGTTTTCAAGGTTGATAATATTGAAGCTGCAATAGGAGATATTCGACAACATCATATTCGAACACTTAGTGAAAGTACTCAAATTGGAGCTCATGGTAAACCGGTTATATTTCTCCATCCAAAAGATTGTGGTGGAGTACTCATTGAACTGGAACAAGCTTGATAGTAAATTTAAGTCATCATTTCTTCGAGCATTTATTCATTATTGTCGTCATTTAAACAAGCTGTCTTAGTTAAAATTACTTTTTTTGCTCATTATCGCTTTTCTTGTCAACCTTTTTTCTTCTTCTCTTATTGTCTAGATAAGATACCCAGTCTTTTTAACCTTGATAGTCTTGCCCAATATCTCAATGACGAAAATTGTCAGTTGAAACTTTTGCCCTCATGCTTTATTTTTTTTATTGTCAGAATTTATTCTCTATATATGTCGAAAATTTATTTATTCAACTGATTGTGCTTAACAATAGTATAGATAACAAAACATGACAAACACAATAAAGATTCTTATCATCTAGATGAAAGACACTACATTGATTTTGACAACAAAGCCATGTTCCTGTTCGTTTTTATTTTCTTCAAGTTTCAATAGAAAGAAAAAGAACTCGTAAATTAGATAACATATCATTTTCACACTTGTCCATGATAATATTTTATTTTTTCAAACTCTTTTTTTCGCTCTTTTTTTTTATTATTCCTTTAAAATTTATATTTCCATATGATGATCACCTAATTGATTAGATTAGAATAACGATAAAAACTACTCAGCATGAGTATAAATCCGTTCCCATTAGTTATCAAAAAAGCTTATTCAATCATCTGAAATAGCAAATCGATGAGACTAATGACATATCAAAATGCATAATCTACTAAATGAACAATCGATTACATCATCTTCTATATCAATAAAACAGACAAATATGTATTGTTCATGTTTGAAACATCGACCAGATGGATTCTATCAAAGGAAAAACATAACTCTCAGTCAAATATTTTTCCTAAAGATAATACAACGTATAGATTATCCACAGGCGGTAATACATCAGGTCGAGTATCATTTGCACATACTCAACTTCAACTAATGGGAAAATATTGCGAGAATCAACATTAGCATTCCCATTTGATATTGCTGTAACTGAGAAAGAAAAAGAAAAAAAGAACGAAGATCAACTCTATGTCTGTCAAAGATAAAAAACAATGATGCAGACGAATTTCAATTAACTTATTTCCAATTGATCTGATGAATAAAAGAAAACAAAATATTTAATTTTTTTTTTGGCTTTTTAATTGATTGTATATATATATATATATAGACATACATTTAGACAAGAGTACTATGATGACCACTAGTCGGCGATGGTGACTCATCGTTCGAACTCGAACCACATAGATCACGTGCTTCTCGACGTTTAACACTTAAAAAGTGTTGTGCACCGGACGAAGATGAAAGTGGAGCTGTTTTTGAACGTGAATATGGTTTTATTTCTCGTAAAAATGAATTGTCTGATATTGTTGCTGCCGTTGAAGATATTGCAGAAGTTCGTAAAATAGGTGATGGTGGTGGTGATGGTGGAGATTCTTTAATATCCAATGAATTCGGTCGCATTATAGATGAAGTTATAACATCATCAAAAGAACTTATATTTATAATAGGTTCAGTTGGATGTTTTAAATATTGTTGTTGTTGTGGTTCTTGATTAGATATGGATGTAAATGGTTCAATAACACGAAATATAATTTGATCCATACTTGCTTCACGTATATCACGTACACGTGGTAATTTTGATGATGATTGTTGAGTTTGATTTGTAAGACGGTGTTGTGATGATGACATAGGTACTTGAAGAAATTCTGATGAACGTGATGCATGTGTTGATGTACATGGAAAATCTGAATTACGTCGATGATTATATCGACGAAGTGTTTGTTGTTGTTGATTAGATCGATTTGTTTGAGGAATGATTGATGAAAAAATACTACTTGTTGCATTTGGTGTTTCACATAAAAGTGGTGTCAAATCAAGTGACATTAATATATGTTCATTAGATTCATCTAATTGCATAGAAGTTATTCTAAATATAATTATTAACTAATAACATTAATTTTCATTATAATGATGATTACTTACCCACAACCTTTTTGTACTTTAAATGCTAATGCTCTCATCAATTGTGTATTATCTGATTCATTTAATGCAAGACATATTTGATTATGTAAATCTTTAGGTATCTAAATAAGACAATTATATGAATAGCTTAATATTGAAATATAGAGAGAAAAAAAAACAACGAAAGTTACCATAAATAGTTCTTTATACTGTTCAATCATCATTTTTAAAACTGTTTTTCCTTGTTCCATTTGATCAGCACTCATAGCTACACTCATATCTTTACTTGATATCACCGGTGCTTTGCCATCCATAAGTATTGTTGGTGCAAAAACAATAGCTAAATTTGCTGTATCCATTTTATTACCAAGTACAAGCAGTTTTCCATCAGTTGTATAACGATCTTGAGAATTTAAAGAAACATGATGAAGAAATTTTAATAATGTATATAATGTATCTCGATTTGATGATGGTAATAAACCAATAAGATATGAAAGAGCACGAGATTGATCTTTTGGATTAAGTCCTAAATAAGATGTTTAAAAAAAATTTCATATTTTTATATTTAGTTTAAATATAAACACGAACTTGATGGAACATTAAGAAATGGCGCACATAAATCACGTGTTAATAATGGTTCAGGTAATTCACGTAAAAATTCTTTAATTAAACCAGCTATATCATGTGCATTTGTTGATAAATCAAATGTTAAACTACGATTTAAATTAACTTGATCTTTGAGCTAAAAGAAAAAAACGGAATGAAAAAGCAAAATTTAATCTTATTTTGACCTTTCTTTTCTCTCAATATTGGCTATTAACAAATAAATAAGTTTATATTATAATGGCATTTGCCTCGAGCTATTCAAAATTATTTGACATTTGAGACTTACTTCTTTCAAACGTTTTTTCGATACACCAACTCGAAATAGGCCAACAGTTTGTAATGCTAAAATACGAACAAACTAAGTTTTTCTTTCTGAACAAAAAAAAAAAAGAAAAAGAAAAAAATTCAAATTTTCTTTACCATTTTTTTCTAAATAATCACAACAATTTTGTATTAATTCAGGTACTTTAGCTGGATAACATCGTAATGTATTACATCTATTGATATTAGCACCTGGTTCATTTCCAGCTAATGCTTCAAGTGATATTGATCGAAGTTTTGTTTGTTCATAATCACAATCTGATATCTAAATTTATACGATTTTGTTTTTTATTTATAAATATTCAAATTATTTTAAATTTCTTTTCTTTTTTGTTTTGTTTTTACATGTAAACTACTTGGACTTGCAGGAGAAATTGAATATCCACTATCATTTGTTGATGAAATACTCCCGGAAGGACTTGTTCGTTTTCCATTGGTTGTTATTATAACCATATCAGTACTATCTTTTCGATTAGTTCCACTAGCTGAAGTCATAACAGATTGTGATACTGGAGTTGTTTCATCTTGAAAACGACAATCATCATCAATTACACATTGAGCTAGAGCAACACCAAACACATTTCCATTTGATTTAGCGTCTATAACAACAACAAAAGTAAATAATTGAAAGAACTATTTCGATAAAAATAGAAATTAAACCTCTTGCTTCTTTTGATTTGTCACTTGATTTACTACGAAACATAAAATGATGTTTACGTTTTCTAACTGATTCTTCTGAAAAATAAAAAGAACAATTTGAAACATCAATGAAATTATTAAACTTTTAATAAAATTTTGTTTTTCTTTCTTTATATATTTTTACACATATATGTATAATAGTTCATTATAGTTTTTTCTTTCATTGAACTATGTAAGATCGTATTTTCTGAATGAATAATCATATTAAATCTCAACCAAATGTCAATTTATCTTTATTTTTTATCGTACCATTTAGATTTCTCTATATTCTTTCAATTAGAAATAAATATTATTAAGAAATACATTAACAAAACTCTTAAGAATAAGTGTCGAATTTCACTGTCAAATAAAAATGACTATTAACGGAAGCAATCATCATTATCATTTATCTTATTTTTTTGTTTCTTTTATATTATGATGTTTTGTTATTCTATACTTTTTTTCTCTGTTTTTTTGCATATTCTTCAAATTGACTGGTTGACTTCTACAGAGATTAATGCATGTAAGACGAACCATTCAGTAAATGTCATGTAATTTATTTCTGTCTCTCAGATCGATCTATTTTGTGTTTTTCTTTCTCATTTTCTTGACTATTTTGATCGATAGATTCATAAAACAAGAAAAAAAAAATCAAAGAATGTCTCGGAATAAGACACTTCGCTCCGCTTAGGGCGATGCGAACACAAATCAAGGCGATGCACGTACAACGGAATTCGATCAACGAGAGGTTGATTTGATTAGAAACGGGAATCTCTATTTTCTATTTCTTTTAATATAATTTTCTTGATTTGTACGTGCAAGTGAGCGTAGGATTATTGGAAGTTTATTGCATGCATATGTCAAAAAACTGTCATCTCTAATCAAAGTTACCTTTCGGCACATGTATTGGCATGCCAAGATCATATTGCGATGATTGCAATCGTTGAAGAATAAGACGTTTCAATTGTTTATGTTCAGCATATGTTAAATTATGTAATTCAATCGAACCAAGAATAATTATACTTGTACCATCAGATGAACACCATTGTGATTTGTCAGTCTAGACATGAATAACAAAAAGAAACATATTTTGTCAGAAGAAGAATTTGATAAAACAAAATTGATGCAACAATCCTTTATATGTACATATATCGATCAATGACAGATGTTTGCTAGTATATATATATATATAGTTATGGAAGAATAAAAATGCAAATAATCAAATGAAAAACGAACATATGGAGAGCATCATAAACTGAACGAAAAAAATATAAATAATCATAAAATCGGTACATATAACTAATTCTATCTAGATCATTTTTTGTAGTCGTTTAGATTTATCTTTTCCAAGATGCACTTATTTTGTCCTTCTGATAAATAAAGATCATGTTGACCGACGATAATATAGATTTTTTTTTAATCTATTATTTTCTTTCTATAAATAAATGCTTTCATTCGATTATTGTACTAATAAGTTTGCCTACTAGTGAGATGAGATACATAGTCAAGCAAAACTCGTACGCCTGTTGTTTGCATTATTATTGAAGCCTTTTTTTCTGTCTCTTGGTTTTTTTCTTACTCTTGCAACTATTCGAGTACAATATCTGTTTGTCGATGGTACTGCTATGTTTTTTTTGTCTCTATGCATGTCGCGCAAATAGGATGTCCTACTATCAACTAGTAATGCTGGATGATGTGGCAGCAGTTGTTTCTCTAATTAGCAACCTAGTGTGTATGGTATACTTACCTCAAAGTGCCATCGGTATTGAGTATCGATAATAGTTGTAGGACGTTTTTTCAGTGATGAAATGAATGATGTTGTTTGATCAAGTGTTGTTGATGATCCACCAGACGCACTAGTTAATGTAGTTAAACTCGAATGATGTGGTGTTGTTGATATTGATGATGATGTTGAGTTTATTGATTTTGTTGATGATGATGATGATGGTAGTTTAACTAGAGAAAGAAAATTACGGAATGTTGATAATGGTGAAGAAGAATTTGTCAAAATGGATGAAGAAGATGATGTTGATGAACATAATGAATTAGATGAATGTGATGGTAAACCGAATCGATGATGATGATGATGATAATAATTTGTTGTTCTATTACGTTTAAGAAAATTACGTATTCCTAATCCAATAGGTAATGTCTCAGGTAATGAATAACGAAAATTATTTGTTGATGGTGTTTCAAAACATTGATCATCTTCATCTTCGTCTTGTTCATCATCGTCATTATCATCATCATCATCATCATCATCATCGCTCACTGTAAATGAGTTTCCTGTTAAAATTAATGGAGTTACTGGTGTTGATGTATCCGTAGAATTAGCTAATGATCCATAGAGTGATTGACATCGTTGTCGACATAATTGTGCATAGTCACATTCAGTTGGTTCTTGATCATATGAAGATACCGTTGGAACATCAATTGTTTCTTTTGATGGTCGACCAATAAATAAACTTGCTCGACGACGATTTCCATTATATATACATTCTTCTGGTATAGTTGTACATTGTAAATCAGAACAAGCTGATCGGCGAAAACGAACTTGAGAACGTTGTGTTTGTAATGGTAATTGTTGGTGAGACATATTAGGTGATGCCGGTGTAGAACGTACACTATTAACACATTGTTCAGTAATAGGATTTGTATCGAGTCGAAAACGAGGTAAAGGTGTATGGCGAGCCATTGTTAATATATTTGTATATTTGTTGTCCGCTGTATGCTATTTAATCAGTTTGAGCCAATCAAGGGTATTGTCAATGTGGACAACGATTCATCAACATTCTTTTTGATCAACCAGTGTTTGTACACGAACTCGATTCTCTTTTTTTTCTTCTCTATCTCTCTCTCTCTCTCTCTCTCACTTCTTTTCTTTCTTTTAATAGTAAGCATACATGCGCATGTGTGCACAGAACTCTCTAATTACCAACGGCCGTGATGTTAGTGATGGTGGTACTTTCTCTCGTTTTTTTCTTCTTCTTCTTTTTGCCTTCTATATTTTCCCTAATGATGACCCAGTCGATCATCCGTCATTAGGTGAACTTAAGACAGACAACGATGGAAATGGATAAAATATGTATTTGAATTTTAGAGACAACGATGACAACGACTAGGATGTTCGAGTTAAAAAGAGTTTTGCGTATATATCGATGTGCGTTTGTGTGTGTGTGTATGTATGTATGTATGTGTCGGTTTTCAAGAATCGTCGCTTCTAATCATATGCGCGAGAATCGCTGAAGATTATGACGACAAGAGAATGACAACAAGCATAGTAGCGTCGTCTTCTTTCTCTTAACATCGCTTGTTTCTTTCGTTGCTGATGCTATGTCATCCACGATTAGATCAACGTACTGATACGTGGAGAAGAAAAGAAGGAATATGAAAAGAAGAACTTAGTTATCTGTTCTCCCAAAACATACACTACACGCACACGCCTATGTATTTACAAACGACGTTGTTCTATCCATATTGCTTCATTTTTATGTATGTTCCACTGTTCCTATCATTTGGCCAGACTTGTATAAACATAACGAATGTAAGGCCATATATATTGCCTGGTGGGCGGATATAGTAGATGAGTTCATTATTGTGTGTGAGATACATGAATACTAATTGTTTCTTATTGTAAAATTGATCATTACGTAAAATGTACTACTTTTTCTTTTTTCTTGTCTTTTTGATGACAATAGATTTTGTTTGTGGATGCATTTATTTTAAAATTATTTTCCGTCTTTTTTTCGAATAGAACATTATCCAGTAAAATAATAAAATTGATGACGGAAAATATGATTCGGAGACGCACGAAATGGAAAAATAGATCCCATTCGTGATGATGATGATAATGATAGTAACTATCTTTGGGTGTAAATGGGAAATATGTCAAGCAGTAACAAACTGAAGAAAGGAAGCCAGACATGTCTCTATACACGTTTTCGAGCTTCCGAGATGCACACATAACCAGATGGCATAGCACGATCTGTCTGTATTAGAATATAAACAAGTTTTAATGACTAATGATCTAATATGAACAACATTTAATCAAGAAGAACGATAGAAAAAAAAAAGAAACTATTTTTTTTTCTTTTTTGTTTTCCTTATCAGATAATATAAAGAAAATAGCTGTTTATTTGTAAATGTTTATCGATAGAGAAGACAACAGTTTACGTTGATATAATAAACTGATGGTTTTATCCATATATAAATATGCATGTATATATTGACGTGACAAAAAAACAAAACTCCAAATCTACATGGAATAGTATACATATTGAGAAGTTTGTTGTACCTATATATATTGTCAAAATTGATTCAGTCTTGACAATATTTTTTTCATATATTGAATAAGAAATGAGATGTCAAAATAGACGAACACAAAAAAAAAGGAAAAAGATAATTGACATTTCAATAAAATTATTATTAGTATGATAAATTACTATCAAATAATTTGCGACATCTTGGCATGATTTTTCGATAGATGGTGCTACTAACCGTTAAAATCAAATTCTTATCGATAATACAACTATGATTATATATTTCAAATGTATAAAAGAATTCTATGCCGTATATATATATATATATATATCAAAATTTAATAAATGCTTACTTGTAAATGTAAATGTGTTTGTTGATGGATCAGTCGAAGTCATTTGGTATCGATAATCGTGATAGAATATATATTATGCTAAAATAAAAGATGAATAAAACTAATTTACTATTATTTATATATACGTATAAAATATATTACAACTTTAAATTATTACATTATTTGTATAATATAAGCATAGGATGTTATTATTTTATAAATATTTATTGTGAGAAAACTTTTTTGTATTTTTTGATATGTTCTATATATATATATATATACATGATAAAATCTTCTTAATATAAACACTTACCTGAAGATTGCGGTTAATTTGCCTAAAGAAATATACTTATGTATATATATGTGTGAGTTATTCTTATGTTAGAAAAAAAGATTTAGCTTTCTATATTGAAGATTTCTTGCTCTCTCTTTTTTTTTTCGTCGGACGAACAATTAACAACTCTATGCGATGTGCTCGACTCGATAAGCAGAGAGTATATACACAACACAATACAAGAAGTCAAACGATAAAGATAGAAGAGAAAGAGAATGCTGTATGTCTCTGAACTCATGCAGCTCAGCTAGAAGAACTCGTTGCGCACAATGTTAAATTCTCTCATTCGCTCTCTCTTTATGTCTCGCGTGCAAATCTTTGGTATGCTCTTCTAGCGTGTCAATCTTGTTTCTTTCATCAGCATTGGCATCCGTGGAAGAGAAGATGACGAAAGAGACGAGAAGAAGAGCAAAGATGCGCCCTTACATGCGTGGGAGGCAAAAGATGTGTAAGTAGAGAGAAGACAATCATGGTGCTGCACACTAAACTTGCTTTTTGCTTATATTGGTGTTATTCTTTAGTTGTAATGCGAGATATAGCATCCAGACAATTATGCGAATAACCATACGCACGCATACGTATATATGTATGACTCGATCGCTGATGCTACCTAGAGTCCGAGGCATATTAGATTCAATAAATTTTATTATTTGGCTGCTCTCTCTCTCTCTCTCCTTTTTTGCTTGCTGATGATTGTTATAAAGGTTGATGAGTATATGCATTTGAACAAATTGCAACTTATTCTGAAGCATATGGATATATCTGTCATGCTGATTTCTTTTAATGTATTTCCAATAAAATCCTAGTCATATTGGACAAGAAAAAAGATAGAGAATAACAAGTGTCAATAAACTATCAGTTAGCATTGATGGTCGAATACCGAGACTAGTGAGAGAATATTTTCTATGACTGTTTATCAATCTTGAGAACAAGACTAATAAAATGACATGATGATCTTTCATCTATCGATATTGACAATGAATAATGGACTGAGAAAGTTTTTCCAGACGTCAAATATCTAGTATTAAGAAATGGGAAATAATTATTCATAAGTAATCATACTATTTTTGTTTATTTGCTTCAAATCAACCTTGAATGAATGAAAGGAAATATTCACTTGTTATTTTAATTCAATACAAGATTTTTTCTAATCAAGGTTCTAATAAAAATAAATTGATTTTTTTGTGCATAAAAGCCTTGAGGAAGATCCACCTGGTATAAACATGCAATTTAAGATTATTTTTATATACACGACGTCATACATTTTTAGAAAAGAAAATTTTAGTATTTTATTCGAAGAAAAAGAAAAGACTAATTATTAGCATACCGTGCGAGTTGTTTTCTTCGAATGATTTCTTTATAATACACGATACAATTTTCCAATTAATAATGTAAGTTCTCGACATGACATGATCATTGAACCATAAGTATATAGAGCATCTAGAAAACAAAATTGGATTATTGATTAAACCGACAATATCAATGAATTTTGAAAATAATCAAGAAAAAAAAGAACGAGAAAACAACTGACATAAGCGAAAGTTATTATAAGTCGAATTGTTATTCTACGGGAATTACACTTACCACTGTAAAGCAAATGAATAAATGCGTTGCATGATGGCTAATAATATTCTTTTCTTTTCTTTTGTATTAAGTCTAGAATAATTTTTGTAAATGGAATATGCCTGAATTAGCATCTTAAATAAACTATTTGTTTCTTATTTAGTTTATTTAACAAATGAACCTTGCTATAAAAAAAACTTTTCGACAATTAGAAAATGAATAGCTTTTGCATTCATCCTTATGTCTTAAAACAAACATAGATATGAATAATGTATACAACAGATATATTCATGTCGTACATGTTCCTTTTTTTTTTTGTATGACGTCAATCGAACAATTGATATTTATACCATTTTTTTTCTTTGCTTTTCAACATCAATATCTTGTATGCTACAAATAGCAGTCCTTGACGTAGACAGTGTTCATTATAAATACTTTCTTTTTTCTTTTACTGATGTTTTTTTTTGAGTTTCTTCTTCTTGTATTCAAATTAAATATTATTGTTTTGTTCTAGTTTTTAATAGGAAAACTTGAGTAAAATACAGAACAACCATTCAAGATCAATGATAAAATATAACGATGTTTCTTTGATGGTTGATCATCCATTTAGATAAGCTCTTGATAGACGTAACAAACATTGATTTTTATCGAGTTTTCTACCATATAATAGAGAAAAGACATAAAAAAAATATCTGTGAACTAAGTAACAGTTTGCCGTTTGAGCTTTTTCTACGCATGACCTCACAGATAATCATGTATTGTTATATATATATATGAAACAAATGATTCAGACTCTGTAATTATCTGAATAATTTGGGATTAATAAAGAAAACAAATAATTACAATTAGTTATTGTTTATTTATCTGATGAAAAATGATTTTTGTTAATTAGTTATTTGACTCCATAATGAGATATGTAAGTTGAATAATATGATCTTTACGTTCTATTACTTGATAGTACATCTACAAATATGTATACATTATGAAAGAAATATCAAAATAAGCTTTATAAAAGATAAATCAATTATAGAAAATAGATCGATAAAAGATTAAAATTATCTTATATGTCTTGTTCATCAATCAAACATTCATCACATCAGCTTCATTTACATTTGCATGAGTCAAAAATAAGAGTAGTTTCGTAGGATAAATGTAACTTGATGATTACGGTAAAATTTGCTTTTGGTAATATTTGATGAAAGAACTT